AAATCATGAGAAAAAAGCAAAGACCAAGCTACATCCTCTTATAACTACAATAACATCAAGCTTTTATCCCACTACGTGGGGCCAGCTACATCAATCCTTTTTTCCCCATTGTGTCATGTTAAGAGTCAAATTCTCATTCAAATCTAAAAAAGAAAGGTTATTTCTAATATTTTCTAATCAAGTCTTTTTAGGTTTACTTCTACCTTTCGTAACATAGGTCAAATCTAATACATCTACTCTCATAACAGAGTCATCGGAAGGCCAATGTTTTACATGACTAAACCATCTAAGGTGACTTTCTCTAATCTTGTCTATCACTAGAACTACTCCAACATTTTACTAGATATGCTCGTTTCATATCCTGTCTCTAAGACTAAGCCCACTCATCCACCTGAGCATTCTCATCTTAGCAACACTTAACTATTATGCTTCTTTTTTAATGGCCAAAATTCTGCACTATAAAGCATTGCATTCCTCCACAACAAAACCTGATGCATTCCTCCAGTTCAACCATCCAACTTCAATTCTACTAATAATATCATAATCTATTTCATGATCACTATGAACAATAGTCACAAGATATCTAAAATATGTACTCTTATTAAATGACTTGATTGCATAAAATTAACAAGAATAATATCATTAGCAAAAATCAAACACAAAGGTACATCCTCTTGCAACTGTCTAGTGAGAACATCCATGAGTAAAGCAAAAAGATATGGACTTAATGCTAATCCTTGATTTATTCCAAGCGAAATAGGAAAATGCTTGTTCAAACCACTAAATAGCAAATTTGAGGAAAAAAAAAATGCAACCATAAATTTTGTTTCGGAATGCGGTTTTGAGGGCAGATTGCAGTCGTGCTTGGATGCCGGAGTGGGGGCGAGATCTTCTACCGGCGGCCGGATTCCTGCGTAGGAGGCGCGATTGATCACGAGAGGCCGGAGGAGGGGGGTGAGCGTCTGTAGCGAGAGAAGAGGAAATTGTGAGGAAATGAAGTGAAAGGCTCGGGATGACTAAAATTAGGGCATGTTTTGGCGGTTTTCCAACGGTTTTGATTGCCGGAAACAAGTCACTTAACACCGACGGTCCTAGCCGCCTGTAAAGTGCCGGTAAAAAATAAAGTTGGCACCCTAACCGATGGTTATTAGATCGCCGCTAATTCCGCCGGCGGTTAATTAAATAAATGTCAGTTAAATCGTCGGTTAGTACCGACGGTTTAACCGCCGGTATTAACGGTGGCTATATGACTGCCAGTAATGGCTACCGATAATACCTAAATTTCCTGTAGTGTACCAATAGGCATGAGTTGAATCCTAATAGGGTGAATGGATTCCATGTGCAGGGTCATGATGATTCCAAGTTGCATAAGAGATTTTTAGGGTTCATAAAGAAGTATTTGATTGGAGTTTGTTTTCACAATTAGTGCTTTGCTTCATTTGAAATCTATAGAGTAGAGTAGACACCCACATTTGAATTGAAGGGAAACACACAAAAAAATTTAAATTAAGCCATAACTAACTTATAACTACTTTTTTGAATTTTAGAAATTTTATATTCAAATTACAAAATTACAATAAATGTACCAATTATACATTTGATTTATAAATTTGAATCTTGAGTTGTAATTTAGTTTGGGGTTTTATAAGCAGCCTTTGGTACGTACATTTATGTGTCATAACAATATCATTTTGATGCTCTTAATTCCAAGAATCTAATGGAATTAATTTTGAAAATATTCATGGATTAAATGTAGTGATGAAAAAAATAGTGATGGCAGGCTATCTTTCTTATGTTGAGATGTCCATCTCCTCTAAAACAATTCAAGACAAAAAATGGCGAGTGAATTAGAGGTTTATGATGTTTTAAAATACTTTGAACATTTTAGACCACAATGAATGAATTGCATGAAAAGATTGAAATTCAATAATAAATATGCAAGATTGAAACAGAACAACACGAGAAGCTAACTAATGTGGGCAACATATGTAGTCAAAGCTCTAGACAAAAAGGCAATCTAGAAAACATTGGTGGACTATCATAAATCTTAAAATATGTAAAACGCCTCTAATTATATACTAATTTTGGCGCTTTTCTTTCTTTCTTTCTATCTTTTTTTTTGCGATAGAGATTAACAATAATATACAACACCACTAGGGTTGGGTCATACGCTTGAAGTGCACATTATAAATTCCTCAACAATTATTGAATTGCTAAATATTATTCATATTTGATTAAACTTACCACCAAACATAATTATACTAGCTTTGGATTAGAGAACAACTTAAACACAATGAGATTATCACCCAAGTCGAGGACTCGATAATAATGTTTGTATTCAAGATATCTACCAATAAAAGAACAACTATCAAAGTTATAAAATATAAAGATTATTTAAATTTTGAAATGGAAGTATAAACACACTCATATGACTAGGGGTGTCAATATTTAACACGAACCGAAAACCCAATACAAAAATTCCATGTTAGGTTAAACCTGCTTGAGAAACGGGTCGAGTTCAAGTTCGGGCATGAGATTTCAAAAACTGGGTCAGGTTCGAGTTGACCCGAAAGCCCAAAATCAACCCGAGTTTGACCCGAAAACCTCGTCGTCATGCTCCGATTCTCGTCTCAGGTGAGTCGCATTGTGTTCGAACTCATCCCGTACTCCTGCAGTCAGCAATCACTTCTAGGGCGGATTGACTTAATAAGCACGCATATTTACAAGATTTGGTTGAATAAGCATGCAGACTGAAGAAACTCCCGTCACTATCGACTAATTTGCAGGGTTTAGGAAAATAAATGCACAAATGAAAGAAAGCTCGTGTTGAGTCAATTGCTTACGATTCGGGTCGAGTTTATGTCGGGAAAATTGATTGATTTCCGAACCGGGTCGGATTCAGATCGGTTCAAAATCTGTCAGGTCAAAGTCAGGCTGGACAGGATTTGACACCCCTACACATAGACATCCATTACCCTATAGAAATAAGTAGGAACTAAAATGCCTCAAATAATATGATATCACATGATTATAGAATCAATCACGCCTTAATTATTTTGTTAAAAAGATAAATGAGATAATATGTTAAGGTCTCTTGCTTAGTGAAATTGACCAGGTAGCATAGTTAAGGTCCATTTATCTACTTGATTTAATACATTCAGGATTATAAAATTTAATTGCAAATGGCAATGGTCTTCCTAGAATAGCTGTATAAGTTGACATCATGACATCATGTGGCTTTGGAGGTTGCCTCTCCTTTCATATCATGCTGCTTGCATCCCAAGGCATTGGAAAGATAGCAAGGATAAAGACATAAATAAATAAATAAATAAATTTTTATAATGGTATTTAATGGGTTTGTAATCATAATCTATGATTGCAAGCGTGATCAATTGAACTCATTATCTTGTAGGTGTGTAGTATAAATGATTTTGTTCACATTTATTCCAATTTTGTGTGAGTTACATTTTTTAATAATCTCATCTTTTATAAAAAAAGAATCTCATTTTTTATGCATTTCTACAACACAATTATTTTAATTTTTATCACACTTCATATTATTCTTATTTCAAACACATTCAATTTAAATATGAATATGCTTTGTAACCTAATATTAAGATTTATGCAACATCAAAATAATTATAATTTAAAAAAATCAATTTTCATTATATGATTGATATAACACAAAACTATTGAGATAATTCTTCATTTTAATTATTATGCCTTTGCTCTATACCCTTATTTATACTTTTAATTCTATATAATAAATAAATTTTAATATTGAATGTGCATCATAAACATTATGCGACAAAATTTATATATCACAATTAATATTTATTCTATTATTTTTATGATATTTATCTTTTAACAATTCTTATCAATATTTAGAATTTTGTCTTAATAATTAAAATTATATATATTAAATAAATTTTTATTAGAATATCATTGCCTACTGAAAAACTAATTTTCCACTTACTAATGATAGCCACGTCAAACAATAACTCATCTCTAAGCAAATTTCATTTCTAAAACAAAAAAAAAGTCTATTATGTGCATATTCATTCTTATTTATTAAAAATGTAAATATTATATAAAAAAATTATAACTTTGTTGATTTATTCTTTTACAAATTAAATTTTTTAAAAAAATTATTTGACCTAATAATCCATCTGATTATATAATTTTCTCCAAAATATATTCACCTTTTTCACGGGAGATTAAATTTCTACACCCAGTTCTCGGCAGAATTGCTGCCTCTGTGTTGTGGATAGTTCTCTCCGCCAATGCTGAATGCTGGTAGGTGAATTCATCTTCTTCTTTGAGCTCGCGCGTGCAGCCCCGTTTGTTGACGCGAAGGAATCCTCCCGCGAGACTCGCCTTCGAAGCCCCTAAAAAAGAAAAAAAAAATCTTCTTTTTCCTCTGTTTCGTGATTTTTTCAAAAAAAAATTCCGGTGCGACACCGGACGTCGCATTGTTGACGTCACGAAGTCGCCTTCGGTGGAGCCGGCGAGGAATGACAACCGCCTGTTTGACATTCAGTTGTAGATTACCTAAAGACTTAAACTAATAGAATAAGTTATGAACGTCTGGGATTAGTTAATTAAACAACTAACATCGTCGTCATAGCACGCTTCTTGAAAATTCAGCACAAAAGGAAAAGCAGGTTGCAAAAGTGACCACAAGCAGGCCAGGAAAGAGGAAAAGCAGAAGAGACAGCCGCGGCACGCGCTGCAAATGGATAAAAACGCAATGAGAGCATAACACAAACAAGAAATAAGAGGAAGGAGGCGTTGAAGTTAAGGTTTTGAGCACGAGTTGAAGAAGCAGGCCACAGAGCGCACACACAAAAAAAAAAAAAAAGAGAGAATGAAATCATCGCCCACTCCCTGTAACCCAATCATGCGGCTCCCGTCTCACCCAACACTTTCCAAAAGCATTCATCGACCTCCCGCCTCTTATACCTTCCTTCTCCCCGGCACTACAGCTCATCGCCCCCGCCATGTCACTCTTTCTCTTCACCGCCTCGGCAGCCGCGGCCGTTCTGTTCGTTTTCAGCTCCGCAGCTATCCCGTCTACCTCGCTTCCCGCTCCCCTCCTAGCCTTACTCGCCCTAAAGTCGTCACTTTTGGACCCCCTCTCTTACCTCTCCGACTGGGCACTTCCCCTAAATCAAAACTCCTCCTTATCGCCGCCGCCGTGGTGCTCCTGGTCCGGTGTCTCCTGCGCCAGCGGCGAGGTAGCAGCCATCGACCTCTCAGGACGTAACCTTTCCGGCGACCCCTTCCCTTCCGAGCTACGGCTCCTGTCACCTTCTCTCACTCTCCTCAACCTCTCCACCAACTCCTTCTCAGGTCCCATTCCCTCATCCTCATCTCTATTCCATCTCCGCCGCCTCCGCTCTCTCGACCTCAGCCGCAACGACTTCAACTCCTCCCTCCCATCGCGTCTCTCCTCCCTCCGTCGACTCACTCTCCTCACCCTTTACAGCAACAGCTTCTCTGGATCCATCCCCGTAACAGTCGCCGCGCTTCCTCTCCTCGAGCATTTAAACCTCGGCGGAAGCTTCTTCTCTGGCCTGATCTCCGGCGAGGTACTTGCCTCGTTCACTTGCCTCCGGTTTCTTCACCTCGCCGGTAACCTTCTCACAGGTCCCATCCCAGTGGAGATTGGCCAGCTTGCCCTGCTTGAGCATCTGGAGATCGGGTACAATACGTATGAAGGCAGCCTCCCACCAGATATTGGGCGGTTGCGGAATCTTCGCTACCTCGACATTTCTTCAGCGAATCTTTCTGGTGAGATACCAAAGGAAATTGGGAATCTTATTGAATTACAAACTCTGTTTCTGTTCAAAAATCGGATTTCTGGTGGCATCCCGCATGAAATGTCCCGTCTTAGCAGCCTCAAAGTTCTCGACTTGTCAGATAACCACCTCTCCGGCATGATTCCACCTGGCATCTCCCTGTTCGTTAATCTCACCGTTCTGAGCCTCATGAACAATGACCTTTCAGGCGAAATACCGCCGGGAATCGGCGAGATTGCCTCGCTTAAAGCGCTCCTTCTCTGGAACAACTCCCTGACGGGCATGCTCCCACCGATGCTCGGATCGGGCGGGCTGCTGGAGAGGCTTGATGTTTCTTCGAACTCCCTCTCCGGCCCAATTCCTCCCGGCCTCTGTTTCGGAAACCGCCTCGTTCGGCTAATACTCTTCGCCAATCGTTTCGAATCCTATATTCCTTCTTCCCTCACCCGCTGCTCTTCATTGTGGCGCATTCGTATCGAAGATAACCGCCTTACCGGCTCCATCCCTGCCGGCTTTGGCCATCTCCAAAACCTCACCTTTTTCGATCTCAGTAGCAACAGTATCTCCGGCGAGATACCGCCAGACCTCGGCATCGCTCCACGGTTACAGTTTTTGAACATGTCCGGTAATCCCTTCCGAAGCATACTACCAAATACGATCTGGAGGGCGCCGTCTCTTCAAATTTTCGCTGCAAGCTCCTGCAAGCTCCACGGCAAAATCCCGAGCTTCGCCTCTGGCTGCAGCAATCTATATAAGTTAGAAATTTGGCAAAACGGTCTCAACGGCACCATTCCCACTGACATCAGCAATTGCCAAAAGTTACTATCCCTAAAACTGAATCAAAACCGTCTCACCGGTCCAATTCCGCCAGAGCTCGCAAATCTGCCCTCAATCACCGAAGTAGACCTCTCCCTCAACTTTCTAACTGGCGCGATCCCGCTGGCGTTCGACAACTGCACTACGCTGGAAAGCTTCAACGTGTCCTTTAACGGCCTCGCGGGTCCCGTTCCCGCCTCCGGCAACGTACTTCGGAGCCTCGACTCTTCTTCATTCGCTGGAAACCCAAGACTTTGCGGCTCGCCGCTCGCCCGGCCCTGCACCCCAGCGGTGGAGCGGCAGCTGCGCAAGCCAGCTGCCACCGCAGGCCCGGTGATCATTTGGATCGCGGCTGCAGCGGTGACAATTGGATTGGTCCTCCTTATAGCCGGGACACGATGGTTGAAAGCGGCCTCCCGGCTCGGACCGCGGCCGTGGAAGCTAACGGCTTTCCAAAGGCTAACATTCACGGCGGACGACGTGGTCGAGGCAGTGAAATCCACAGCTCAGATCATTGGTATGGGCTCGTCCGGCACGGTTTACCGCGGCGAGATGCCCAGTGGAGAGGTGATTGCAATCAAGAAGCTTTTAACGCCGGGCGTCGCAAAGCAGAAAAATAAAACAGAGTGCATGTTGCCGGAGGTGGAGCTACTCGGCGCAGTAAGGCATCGCAACATTGTCCGACTGCTCGGCTACGTCAGCAACGGGGAGTCTACCATGCTGCTATACGAGTACATGCCGAGCGGGAGCCTGGAAGAGCTCCTTCACAGTAGCGGCGGAGAAGGAAAGGGTAAGACTACGCTAGATTGGGGGACGAGGTATCGTTTAGCGATTGGTGTAGCGGAAGGAATGAGCTACCTTCACCACGACTGCAAGCCGGCAATCGTGCATAGGGACCTGAAGCCGAGCAACATACTCGTGGACGAGGAGATGGAGGCGAGGATAGCGGATTTCGGAGTGGCGAAGTGGGCGACAATGACGTCGTTGACGGGGATAGCCGGGTCGTGGGGTTACATAGCGCCGGAGTATGCTTATGCAGTGAAAGTGGATGAGAGGAGCGATGTGTATAGCTATGGAGTGGTGTTGATGGAAATGGTGAGTGGGAGGAGAGCAGTGGATGGCGGTGTTGGTGATGAGGAGGGGAGGAGTCATTTGGTGGATTGGGTGAGGACGAAGGTGGCGAGGAAAGGAGGGGAAGGGGTGGGGGAGGTTTTTGATGAAGAGATGGCGATTGGGTGCAGAGAGGTGAGGGACGAGATGGTGATGGTGCTTCGAGTGGCGATGTTGTGCACCAGTGAGAGACCAGTGGACAGGCCGACAATGAGAGATGTGGTTTCGATGTTGAAGGCGATCAAGGTAGTCGGGAGTAAGGTGGCGGAGCAGGTTCCGGTGCTGGTTTTGGCCAAACCAGGCTAACAAGGATTTGAATTTCCCGCCGTCCAGAAAAATATTTTTCCCTTGATTTTGTTTTTCAATTTGAATCATGGCTGTTTGGTTGGTTGTTTTTTTTTTTTTTTAATTTGTTCGTAACTTGTTTTTTCGGATGTATTTCTATGCTTTTTCTCTTTTTATTTTTTTAAATTTAAACTTTAAGTGTATTTTATAGCAAACTCTTTGATTAGGAACTTAAAACTCTTAATAGTTTAATCATTTTTCTAAACCTTTTTGCAGTGGGTATTATCAAATTTAGGTTTGATTTGGAACAATTCTTTTGCTATTTTATAAAATTATTATTTACTACAAATTTTCAAAAGATTATTTTAAAAATCAATAAAAAGATTATCCCAAACAAAGCATTAGACAATCATAAACATTTAGCTTAAACCGCTGAGCAGCCTTCCACGAAGTAATTAAATCATGAGATATTTAGTAAACATTACAAATTTTTCAGATAGAGATAAAAGCCAAACCTAAAGATGGAAATTGCAAAAGCAGATTCCTAGGAAAGCACAATGAGAACTAACAACAAAAAAAAAATAAAAAAGATGGATACTCCAAGCCACCAATACTGGCCATCAGCAATATATAGATAATATTTCGGAGATCACCCTTTAAAACAAATATATTTTGACCAAATAGCTTCAGGATAGATAGAGAAAAGAACAATCCAACAAATATTGTCACAATCTCCAGCAATATGAATATTCATAAATGAGCATCTCCCATAGAAAATGAAATATAGCTTCGAAAATTAGTAGCTGTAACACAGCTGATCTTGATCTGTTTGTTTGGAGTTTTGACTATGAATTAATAGCTCTTTGATTCGAGTCTTGCCTATATGTGCGTGAGATTGTCTCAATTGACCTAAATGTCCTAAGTAGCAGTATGTCTTAATGCCTTCCACAATATGTAAAACACTAACCCCTCAACGACCCAAAACAGAATTATAAGTCAAAGCAGTCCAATAAGCAAATAAGAAAATAAAATAGATTATTACAGCTGAATAAATTGTATTCAAATATATCTTGACACTTGTCACCTTACGGTTGGCTCAAGTGTTCTTGTCTAGTCTATATATAGGATTACTAGCTTGTATCTTGGATGACAGAATAATAAATCTTTTCTTTATTTTGATTCGTGTGCTTCTCCTCTTCTCTGTTTTCGTTTCTTGTTTACTTCTTCATGGTATCAGAGCGGGCAAGCTAGATCGTCGCCATGGAAATCTCCTCCACCTCCCCGTCCGGCGATCGCTCTGGCTCGGCAACGAAACAAGAAGATCTGCTTATCTCTTCCACCCTCAAGTTCGTCGTGTCCAACCTCAAGAATATTGTTCACACGCATCTCGCCGCCGACAACTACCCACTGTGGAAGTCTCAGATCGCCAAAGTTTTCAAGGCCAATGATTTTGAAAAATTTCTTGATCCAAAAACTTTACCCGACTGCTCCTCAACTCAGTGGACCCTTACCGGCCAAAACCTCGCAGCCGCACTTTGTTCGACTATCTTGGCACCTGCTCTTCCTTACATCGTCAACCTTGAAACAACTGCGGATATCTGGACCAATCTTGAATCCAGATTCTAGTCGACGAACAGATCCAGAGTAATTCAATTGAAAAATGAATTACACAATGTAGCTCTCAAGAATCGCACGATGATGCAATATTTGACGGACATCAAGTCGATCGTCGATCAGATAGCTGCAGCAGGTTCATCGGTAGATAACGAAGATATTATCTTGTATATCTTAAAAGGGCTTCCAAGTGCATATCAATCATTCAAAACGGCTATCCGCACCATGGCGACTCCTCTCAGTCTAGAGAATCTCTACCCTCTTCTTCTCAGTGAAGAAATTCATGTTCAAAATGACACTGATAAAGACCTTGCATCAACTGATTCAAAACTCGCATTATACTCCTCTCGAGGTCGTGGTCGGCGACCTAAATATCGAAATCAGCCTTCTAACTCTGATTCTTCCCAACGCACCACTGAAGCCGCAAATGTCATTTGTCAGATATGCTTGAAAAAGGGTCACTCGGCGCACAGTTGCTGGCATCGCCAGAACCTTCAATATATGCTAACTCAGCAAAATCAATCCAAGAAAGCCTTTCTTGCGGCCTCAGATCAGTCCTCGTCCAACTGGTTCTTGGACTCAGGCGCAACATCTCACCTAACAAATTCAATGGAGAACATGTCCATCTCAAATTCCTACAACGGCTCTGACATGGTTACTTTTGGTGATGGGCGTTCGGTGAACATAAGTCACTCTGGTGATGGACTGTTACCGACCCCATCTCGTAAGTTACTTTTATCTCACATCTTGCATTCTCCTCAATTTCGTTATAACCTGATTTCTATCTCTCAACTCACTAAAGATAATCAAATTTCCATAACTTTTGACCAATTTGGATTTGTGTTTAAGGATTTGAAGATGCAAAAGGTTCTTATTTAAGGACCTTGTAAAGATGGTCTTTACTCTGTTTCTCAGCCAACAGAACAAGCATTTTCGGCCACTGTCAGCAACTTCTCTCCTTGGCATAACCGGTTGGGCCATCCCAATAATCGGGTTCTGCAGTGTATTTCGGCTGCCAACAGTCATCTACACATAGGAAATAAATCTGTTTTTTGTAATGCGTGTAATGAGTCTAAAGCTCATAAAATTGTTTTTCCTAGTTCTTTTCATAACTGCAAATCTATTCTTGAATTGATACATACTGATGTTTGGGGCCCTGCTCCGGTTTTATCAAATCAAGGTTTCCGCTATTATTTGATTTTTGTTGATGATTTTTCACGTTTTACTTGGGTGTTCCCGATGTGCTACAAATCGGAGGTTACTAATATTTTTATTAATTTTAAAACACACATAGAAAACTATACATCCAAGAAAATCAAAACGCTTAGGTCTGATGGAGGTACTGAATTTGTTAACCATGAGCTTAGCAACTATCTTAGCACTCACGGGATCAATCACCAACTTTCGTGTCCCTACACTCCCGAACAGAACGGTGTAGCTGAACGCAAACACCGTCACATCATTGAAACAACTCGCACCCTTCTTTCTACTGCCTCCATGCCCTACAAGTATTGGCCGGAAGCTGTGCTTACTGCGGTATATCTCATCAATATCATGCCTACCACAACCACAAGCAATATCACCCCTTATGAACTAATGCACCACAAATCCCCCAACTATGATCATCTTCGTGTTTTTGGGTGTGCTTGCTACCCTCTCGCTCCTCCGCATTCTCGACACAAATTACAACCTAAAGCCAATCTGTCTGTGTTCTTGGGATATTCCGATCGCCACAAAGGCTACAAATGTCTTAACAAGATCACACATAGAGTTACTGTCTCGCGTCACGTTCTTTTTCATGAGACTGTTTTTCCTTTTGCAATCAATACTAGCAATCAAGATGTTGCTTCTGCTAACCACTTATCTGAATTTCTTCTCATACCTGTTTCGGCTCATAATACTTCTCACAACAGCTCTGTTACTTCTGTTACGCCGCCTGTCTCAACGACCTCTTCTCAGCCTTCTAATTTCTCACCGCATACTCATACTCCTGATTTACATCCTCCGGCTATACCCAAACCTGCACCTCAACCTCATCCTATGATAACTCGCAATAAAACTGGTTCTCTCAAACCCATAAACCGTTTAAATCTCTCTCACACTCACACTACCAAGTCTCTACAAACTACTCCTACCAGCTATGCTGAAGCTTCCAAACAACCAGAATGGCGGAAGGCTATGGCTGCTGAGTTCCTAGCTTTACAACGTCAAGGTACATGGAGTCTTGTCCCACCACCTCCAACGGCATCCGTCCTTGGCTGCAAGTGGACGTATCGAACGAAATATCACTCAGATGGAACGGTGGCTAAACACAAGGCTCGCTTAGTTGCTCTCGGTAATCACCAAGAGTTTGGCGTTGATTACACAGAAACGTTTAGTCTTGTTGCCAAGTTACCTACTATTCGTATTCTTCTTGCTATTGCTATTCATTATAATTGGCCTGTACAGCAGCTAGATGTTACCAATGCCTTTCTGCACGGCAATCTGAATGAAACGGTGTATATGCGGCAACCAAAAGGGTTTGAGGATAACACAAAATTTGAATACGTATGTCAACTTCATAAAGCCATTTATGGCTTAAAACAAGCTCCTCGACAATGGTACAACACGTTCACTCAATATCTGCTCTTACTAGGGTTCACTTAAAGCAATGCCGACCCTTCTTTACTAATCTTTATGAACAAAACTGTTAAAATTTTTCTTCTTATTTACGTTGATGATATATTGGTTACAGGTAATGACAGTTCAGTTATATCCACTGTTATTCACAACCTGAGCCGACGCTTTGACATGAAGCAACTAGGATCTGTAAATGATTTTCTCGGTATTCATATTGATCGCTTACCAGATCAATATTTCCTATCTCAGGAACTGTATGCCGCATCCATTCTTCAACAGGCTCAAATGCTGGAGTGTAAAGCTCTTGCCAATCCAACTGTTACGAAACTTTCTCCAGAACTGCTGCCTGACCCAATACTCTCCGACCCGTCCATGTACAGACGCATAACTGGGTCTCTTCAGTACTTGACCCTCACTCGGCCAGACATTGCATTCAGCATAAATCAATTATCACAGCATATGCATGATCCAAATCCCGAGCACGTCTATCTATTGAAACGATTACTTCGCTACATCAAAGGTACCATCGATTACGGAATACCGATTACAAAATCTAATCTTGATCTTTCTTCTTTTTCAGATGCTGATTGGGCTGGTGATCCACACACTCGAAAATCAACATCAGGTTTTTGTTCTTTTCTTGGCAACACTCTGATATCTTGGACCGTCAAAAAGCAACATACAGTTGCCCGATCCTCTACAGAATCTGAGTACCGCTCTTTGGCTGCCCTTGCTTCTGACGTTATTTGGCTCGGACGCTTGTTATCAGAATTCGGTCTTCCTCCGACTCAACCCACTGATATGCATTGTGACAACACCTCAGCTATTGCTCTTGCAAATAATCCGATGTTTCACGCCCGTACAAAACATATCGAGATCGATCAGAAATTCATACGGGATCATATTCAACAACAAAATATCCGTCTCCTTCCTATAAGTATTGTCGATCAAATTGCAGATATCTTCACCAAACCGCTCTCTACCCCTCGGTTTCATCAACTTAGGCTCAAATTGACGGTCATGCAACGACCCATCAATTTGCGGGGAGATATTACAGCTAAATAAATTGTACTCAAATATATCTTGACACTTGTCACCTTACGGTTGGCTCAAGTGTCCTTGTCTAGTCTATATATAGGATTATTAGCTTGTATCTTAGAACGACATAATAATAAATCTTTTCTTTATTTTGATCCGTGTGCTTCTCCTCTTCTCTGTTTTTGTTTCTTGTTTACTTCTTCAATTATGCCTTCTCTTTTCTTCTTTTCAGTATATATATGTCTTCTATTAAAATATTAAAGGTGCAATAGTACTATAACCGAATTATACAGCTAACAAAAAAGATACTACTACAATTATACGGTAAGTTATGCGGGCAATTGTAAAATGCTCCGCATCATCTACACTCATTGATGAAAATAGCAACGATAGTGCTTCCTCTACATAGAAAGTAGAAAGCGCCAATGCGCAAAGTACTTGACAAATTCTGTTTATGAAAATTGGGTGGCTGATAATGAGGTGCTGAGGTGCCCGTGAATAATTACAGATTATATACTTATTTATATAATGATATATGATTTGAAAGTGTTCGGGTGTTAAGTAAAAGCAGACATGGGTTAGCTCATACCCGTGTGTCGCGTCATGTAGTGTCCATTTTCCTTTTTATAAGGCTCTATACAATATACATTCCTCGCTAAGGAGTAATTTCTCTCGTCATATCTTCTTTTGATCCTTCAAAAAGAGAAGTAGAGGCTTTAAATTTCCTGAAAAGAAACAATACAAGCTTTAGAATGCTTCGTAAGCACAAGTGGATTCGAGTTGCAGCAAATCAATCTTCCATTACCTTTCCACCCTATGTTCACTTCACCAATTAATGGTGTTCACAGTTTAACACCAGTTGGGGTTGCCTGATCAAATCATCAAAATATATGCTTTATTGACTTCCGTTGTGGCTAAGGCCTGGAGTCTTGGTAGCTTTCCTCAAATCCATGGACCTTCTGATCATGGCCGCATCCACAGGTCGGCCAGCCTCCACATAAATGGCGCTGAGCAGAATATAGTACCCTCCCTCCTCGGGCTTGAGCTTCATAAGCTTCGCCACCGCTCTCTCCCCCATCTTCACATCACCATGAATCCTGCATCCGCCAAGCAGCGCCCCCCACACCATGTCGTTGCTTTCAAAGGGCATTACCTCCACAAGATGCCAGGCTTCATTCAACATCCCTGCCCGCCCCATCATATCCACCATGCACCCGTAGTGCTCCACGCCAACCTCCTCGCCTCTCTTCGTCATCTCGTCAAACAGCTTCCGGCCTTCTTCTACTCGCCCGGCGTGAGCACACGCGCTCAGCACGGCTAGATTGGTCACTCCGTCCGGCCTCACATGTTGAACTTCCCTTGATGATATTCTCCTGAAGAGTTTAATGGCTTCTTCAGCGTCACCGTGCGCGGCGTGAGCCCATATCATGGAGTTCCACGTCACTAGGCTGCGTTTCCCCTCTTTCATTTCGTCGAACAACTGCCGCGCACGCAGCAGGCATCCGCACTTGGCGTACATGTCTATCAATGCATTGCGGAGAGCCACCATCCAGCATAGGCCCCTCGCCTCCATGTAACTATGCAGGTCTTCTCCGGCCTCCAGATCCCCAATAGCAGCACAAGCCGAGACCAAGCCGATCATTGTCACTTCGTCCGGTGGCATTGGCATTTCGCCGAACAACTGCAGTGCGTCACGGGGGCGACCTGCCCTCGCGTAGCCTGAAATTAGGGAACAATCATTACGTCCTCCGAGGGAGGTCAAATCCGGCCAAAAAACAAGAAATACCGAGCACCGAGCAATACCAAATAATAATGACGAATACCATCAAGTGAAGATCCAATACCGAGTTATACCGAGCTATACCGAGTAATACCGAGTTATACAAAAGTTGTACCGAATTTTTCCTAGCAAAAACTCGGTACAACTCAGTATTGCTCGGTATAGCTCGGTATAACTCGATATTGATCTTCACAGA